CGTTTTACAAATATTGCAGCAGTGTCTGAGGAAGTGTGCTGAGCTGCTTGCAAACCACCTTGGGCCACCTCTGTTTGTGCAATATGTTAGAACACAGCGATTTGTTCAAAGATTCTGTGGAATATCATGTATCTGCTCTTTGAATCTTCATGACAGTTACTATCCAGATGGATGGTATACTATCCATATAGGCAGCTGTACTCTTGGGTGGTTATTCTGTATATCTCCTTGGGAAGCACATACAGTGGCTTTTATGGGATGCAATTCCTCGGAGGTGATATCCAGGGAGTAGGGCTTGGTGGGATTTACCTGGCAGATATTTACTCAGATGTGTGCTCCTTTTTCCTACCACAGATGAGATATCATTCAAAGTCATTTCCCTTGCTCACAACTTCTGATGCATGTGAAGTAGCAGAAAACCATGACTGTGGAACTATAGTGAAGCTGCTTCTTTCAGCAGGTTTTGTGGTTAGTGTGAGCAATACCAGTTATTCTTAACTGCTCTGTAAGCACAGAAGTATTTGGTAATCGCATCCTTGCTAGAGAGCTAACCAGCACCAAGCTCATTCCTTGTCCCTGAGCCCAATAGGCACAGTCTGACCGTGTGCATACTGTTAAACTCAACCTCCAAAGCAGAGTAGCTTCACCTAAACTGCCTGATAGGAATGATCTCTGGCCTGTGCCAGTTTAGGTTAAAAAGAACTGAAATGACCCTAGATATTTATATTTAGGCAATTGCATCTCACCCTCATCTTTCAGTCAGTGGAGTCTGCAGAGAAATGCAGCCAGTGAAGCTGTCTGTGGAGGGTGAGCTGAGGCACGCCCAGGCTCTGCGGATTACCCTGACACAGGTTCATCTAATTTTGGTGCAATGAATCCCTCGGCGTTTGAGGATTGAGAGGAACTCATGAGGAGCAAGGACAGCAAGGAGAGATGGGCATGTTTGAGGATTGAGAGGAACTCATGAGGACAGCAAAGAGAGAAGGGCATAGTACAGACATATTCTGGCTTCTCAGCCATGTGGAGTTGAGGAATAACCTCCTTCACATGATTTGAGATGGTCAATCATACAGCATTCCCCATCAGATACATGAGGAAACCATTGTAATTCAGGCAAAAGCAGAGCTTGAGCAGAGTGGTTTTGCCTAACTCATTCATAGAGTGACCAAAGACAGGAAGGGCAGTTTTCAGGTGCTACATATGAACCTAAAGTATGTGTCATACTCAGGGGTGTAAATACACTTTTCTGCTTCTCTGTGCTGCTTACAGGTAGCAGTAGCAGCTGGATCAGAAGCAGACATACAGTGTGTATACCCCTCGGTTAGAGGAGAGGGGAAACCCATACCCTGTTTTACAGCACAGCCTCCTGGACCTCTGTGATATTGCCACAGTTGAGGACAAAACAATCTCTGCTTTGTTAAATTAGTGGCAAAATTTCCTCGTGAAAAGGAGGGGAAAACAAAGCCTGATCTGCCTGAAGTTTCTGGGGTCAGTGGGAAGAGACCCTGCGACCTTTTAAGAATGGATTATGGAGAGATGAAGACTGCAAGATCTGTGCTGTTTCCTGTTCATGTGTCTTTTAAAGCTCAGCCATGCCCATTTTGCTCTTCATAACACCAGAAGTTAGTGCAATGACTTCAGCTGGTTTTTCTCTTGATTTACACCTCACAGTGGTGAGCAGAATATGACCTTAAAGTACACAAGACATTGGTCTGATTGCATTTGCTCATCTAGCACTTGTATCTGAAATCTCTCTGCATGCTGAAGTTTTTATACACCTAGAGGCTAACAAACGAGGCCATCAGTTTGAGTGTCCTTTGCAAAGAGATCCTCATTTTCTCTTTTAGCCCTCTCTAACTTGCCATGTTTTATGGCAGTTTCTGCTCTCCTCTTTTGGACACTTGTTCACTGCTGAGTTCTTCCCTGTGAAAGACTCCCTTGGCTTGTTCTTCATGCCCTGCTGAGATTTGCTTAAACCATTTGTTTTCTTTTTGAAAAATATTTTACTGGGGTCTCTAGCATAGCATTTTCATCATCCTCAAGGCAGCCTGCATACTTCTTATTCCATTGCACTGCTTCTTTTGCTGCTTTGTATTCATTTTTGCTTTTTTTGAGATAGAATGTTCATGTTGGATGTGTTTGGTCTGCTGCCTTCCACATGAGTGTTAAACCCAATATTACTATGGTCACTATAACAGAGCAGCAACCCCACACATTTTTTTTTTCAGTTAGTTCCTCTGCACCACTCAGGGCCAAATCTATAATGGTGATTTTTCTTGTGGGCACCAGACTAGTTGTTCCAAGAAGTGGCTCTTCAATTGCCTCAAAAAACTGATCTTTGCTGTATCATCTTCAGTAGGGGATTGATCTGCAGAAGATGTGGCCCGTTACCTCTGTTCATCAGCAAGGCACTATTGCTTAAGCCCTTTTCCAAGGCTTTGACAAGCATGTGCAGACAGGGTGTGTAGCAAAACAGTGGTTGTCATGGGTGTCCAAAGGTGAGTCAATACCATCCAAGTCCATGTGACACCTCATCTGCTGGCAAGGCAGGTCTTTGAGTGCCTTCTCCACCTCCTTTTCTGTCCAGAATTGCTGCCACTAGTTGAGGAATGTGGTTGTGATGTTCCCCAACTGTCCTGTTCACAGGCTGAGTAAGGCAGGGACTCCCCAGCTCCCTAGTCATGCTGTATTCTTGGGGCCTCGGATTATGGACACCTTTCAAATGATAAGAACACTTCCAGGTCAGCATATTCTACTCTTGCACTACCCACCTTCCAGAGGTGGAAGGACTCTTCCTCAGTTCTGTGAAGAAGAGATTTTTCCCATACCTGCCCTATGATAGCCATGTATCCCAGATTTCTGGGATACTTGTCTGGCTGCCAGCTATCTTCCTCTGTGCAAAAGGATCTGTTGTCCTCCTTGCTGGTCACAATTAATACAGATTTTGCATGACATTTTATTAATGACGTCTGCACTTATTTTGGAAGGAGCTAAACAATTTAGGACAGAGGATATAATTTTTGAGTCTTGTTCCTTCTCCTGGCTGTGGATGGCTACGTGGTAATGGCCTTGCTGTCTCTCCAACCCCCGTTTCTTTGTCCTAGTTTCTTCCTCTGTACAGTGGGAGTAGCAGCTCTCACATTCTTTGTTAAGCAGTCAATATACTAATTGCAGCTACTATACAACCATTAAGGAGTATCTCTTATCACCATTACTGAATGCCTGGTGCCAGAATCACTGCAAATGTTTGGCATATCACCTAGTGCTTGCATTGATTTATTATTGTCCCTTAATCCTGAAATCAAGGAGATAAAATTAATGTGATGCAGAAGAGTGTGGCTTAATCAGTGGGTGCCTCTTGTTTGCTTAAAGACCTCCTGTGGGTGACACAAATCTCATTTCACGAGTACAGAGGACTTTCAAATTCCCAGATGAAAAGAGTGAGTAAGGTTTGAGGGTCATCTAAAGATGAGCTTGGAGAGTCTGACAATTATTAATAATTGTTTATTTGGTGGTGATAACATTCTATAATGTCAATTGCAGTGCCTTTGCAGGGTTAACTGCATGGAAATACTGCTACCCTGAAAGCAGAGCAGATGCCTGATCAGATGTTGAACCATCTTACCAAGCTGAATAAATGTGGACTTCCTGACAGGAAATATTAAAATATAAAGTATTACAAATACCAACAAAGTGTTTAAAGAACTTTGCTTATTAGTTGTGTTTTAGCAAATGTTTACACAATACAATAACTGTTTGCAAACCGCCGTGTCTTTGGACATAGTGTATACATGTTAAAGGAGAGAAAAGAGCACAAACCATTTCCAAATTTTTCAGTCTTCAAGAGAACAGCAGAGGATTTCAGTTTCCAGTTTTTTCCAGTTTCAACTCTGTCACGACAGAAGTGAAATGAGAGTAGGTGGAGAGGTGCCCAGGAGAGCAGGAATAAGGACCAAGTCAATCAGTTGTCCTCTGGGAAGCCGGACAGATGGCCAAGCCAGGTCAATGTTTTCTGAGGATGCAGGATGGGGAAGATAATAGACCTTATCTTGATATACTGAGAGGTGGAAATGGGGCAATACACAGACTCACGGAAAAGAAAAGGGATCCTACAGTGAAGACAGGAGAACTAGGGCTGCATTTTATATTTTCCCATCCTTCCAGGAAAGGCATGGATGAGATGGGCAAGCAATAGACATAAATCAAGATATTCCTAAATATCTTCCCCACTCCCTGAGGTAACTCACTGCCACAGAAGGAAGGAAGCTCTGGACAGAGGAGGTGAGTCCCTATCCCCTTGGCTTGAAGGCAAGTGAGAACAGCAGATGTGGACATGGTGAGAGAGACTCTTGGAGGAAAAGCAATGAGATGCCGCCTCTTCCATGATGGCATCGGCAAGTGGAAGGTACAATGCCGAAATTCTGGAGCTGGAAGAGGATCTCCCCAGCTGAAAGGCTAGAAACCAGCCTTGGGTTCTCCCCTGCTGCTGTGGCCACTATGGGCATCGGAGTCTCATATGTGGCTACCATGGAAGGACATATTTCTCCAACACACATCCAGGAACACTGCAGCCACCAGCAACTCATCCCCTGCCCCTGGCTACAGTCACATTTAATTCAGGAGTTAGGGTGTTCTCCAGGATGAGGAAGGTCTCTTCTTGCACTGCATGGGACATGTCACACTCTCTCCCTGATGCAATGAGGAAATCTGCCTAATTCCCACCACAAGCCACCCCTTGGCAAGGGAGGAGAGAAAATTTTCCCAGGTTTCAACCTGGGCTCAACCCAGACTTGGCAGCAGCAGAGGGACAGCAGACATGGAGATGACACGTGGTGTGTTCCCAGACGTGGACACAGCTGAAGAGAGCACACAGTCATGTGCAGAAGTGACCTCCACCAGCTCTGGAGAAAGACAGAGACCAAGGCGATGGTGTGTCCATGTTAGGAGGGACCATTACACTACCGTTGTCACAGCCACCGGTCTGATGGCACCACGGAGGTTCACCAGAAGGGTCTACAGCACTTGGCTGCTCGACCATAGCAGGTGCCGACGCTTCTCTTAAAGATGGGACATAAGAAATATGAACATTCGCCCCCAATCTTCCGACACTGAACAGTGTCTGACACTGTCAGGGAGAAAAACATCTCGTAAGCATCTTTCTTTGGACTTCCACTTGTGAAGAAGCCCTAGCCCCAGGTTGGCAATAGCAGATCCACCCAGGGTAGTCTAATGAGCAGCATCACTGCTGTGATGCTCTGTCCCCTTAGCACCCATGCACCAAAATGGGCAAGCTGAACACCAAGCTTCCCACAGACTGAGTTTGTTGTCCATGTACAGTATCATCCTCTTTTTTTTCCCAAATAGCAAAAATGCCTGTAGATGCCCTGATTGCTTTTCCACTTACCTGCAGCAGTCTGAGGCACTGGAGAAGACAAAGAGACAAGGAGTAGAGTAAGCAGCAGGAAGACCATCCTCATGGCTTTGGCTGACATCGCAGAGTGTCACCTGAAAGCTACTGCAACAAGAGGTGCTATGAGAAGAAGGAATGAGCCAGTATATATATAGCCTTGATGAATGTGACCTGCAGGGATTTAGCAATCCTATTTGGTTATAAACAACATATTTACAGGGCATGTAACCTCTAATTAACAAGCATTCTTGTTTGGATAGATGCTGTGACCTGTCCTAACCCTGAGAGGGATTATCCTTTCAATACATATACACCTACTTCCCTTGGCCTTATCCCAAACATCAACAGACAGACAGAACAGACGGACAGACAAGGAATTGCACAGATAGGCAGCCATTTCAGCAATCATTGACCTAACTAGAGCTATGGCCTAACTAGAGCTGGGGCCCCGTTCACTTCAAGAACTTACACTCTAAAACTCTGGTAAGAAATATCCTTGCCTTCAGAAAATCATTTTCTAAATAAAAGGGGATACTTATTACCTATTAAGATGCAGAAAGGATTCCCCCAAACCAGCTATGGAACTGGTGGCAAAGTATCTAAGGATCAGGTCCACCAAGACCTTCTGTGTTTCTGTGTGGAGCTAACAGGACTCTGTTCCCATTTTAAAACAGAAGAATCTTGAGAATCTGGAGAAAAATTATCCCAAAGCTAGAGAAAGAAATTTTCCAAAGAGGACCTCAATTTGCATTTGAAGAAAATATGAAGAGGTGACTTTGGCATGCCGTGTAGGCAGCTTTGCTTGAGTCCTGGGTGGCTTTATAGTGGGCTCTAGGTCTCCAAAATCCAGCAGTGGAAAGCACAGTCAAAACAGGGACTGGATGTCAGCCAGAGCAATTTAGTAGGCGGTGAAGCCAGGGAGGGGGCTTAGCTCTGGGAATAGTTTTATGCAAGGCTTGTTTTAGCCAAGCAGAGATTATTAGACCCAGACTACCAAGTAAGAGTCTCTGGCCTGTGCTGTGAATGATCTAATGGCCCTTTTCTTTCCATGAAATGCCTTTCTCCTGCTTTCCAGGAGAAATCTCTTCATCATAGCTTTTATCTGCCTCCCATGTGTTTGCTCCTCTGTGAAGGAGGACCAATGTGTCCTGGTTGGATTTCTACAAGCAAAGTCATTGGCCCTGCTTCAGCAATGTGATGTCATGCCTAGTTTGAGGCAGTATTTAGGAAATCCTGTCTTCGAGTAAAGCTTTAGGGCAGAAGGAAGGGCAGATTTTGTCAGCAGGCACTTTGAGACTGACAAAATGCCTGGAGGGGCTCCCTAGGATGGTTCCTTCCTAAGAAAGATGATGATGGGTGGCAAAAGGACAAGACGATGAAGTTCACGTGCCTTGTGTGGGTGACAAAAAGGCTCATGCTACCTCATTCCAGCTTCCTCACTGATGAATTTGCTGAAGTTAGCCCCAAAAGTTTAGACACGAACCCAGGAAAGCCGAGTCTTTCATAGGCACTGGATGCAATTGAGCAACATAAGGAACAACAGAGCCATGTGGTGTTTTCCAGGCATTACCCCAGTTGTTCTTCTGTCAGGTCACTGGGACAACCCATGGCAGGACCTATAGTGCATTAAGTGGAATTTATTCACCTTGTCCAGCTATGTCATTATTTAATATTGCAAAATTCAATTTCATTCTGATTGCTGATGAAAAGTGTGTGTGAGCAATTGCATTGTACATGCCTTATGGTCAGCCTTTCCCTAGCACCCCTACTTTTCAGTCCACTGGTCACTTAAATCCCAACATTAGAATTGAAGCCGCAAAAATACTTGTTAATTCTTACTTCTTTGGCACACATCAGTACTGAAGGCAAACGAGGAACCCTGGTAGACCTCTCTCCCAGAGGAAGACTTCCCAGGGGAAAAATCAGACAAGGTCAGCTCATCTGATCAAATCACCAGTTTGATTCCTTTTTCAGCAGTGTGTGTGTTTCTCTGAGCAGAAACAGCATATTTGGTCCATTGCTCACATGCTAAAACAGAAGAGGAGAGCTACGCAGGACATGGAGTGGACAGGCATTATTATCATCAGTAAACAACAAAACACATATTTTGTTTTAAGGATTGCAAAGAAACACTCTAAAATTCAAAAAAAAAATCCACCTGGAAAAGCATAAAAAGTACCCCCCACACACACATACATATCGTGACTCAGGGGATCTTGCAAGCTTTGGAAGTCTGCTATGTGATTTTGTAAAATTTTGTCCT